TTATTTGACCCGTTAAGAATTAGCAGCGTCGAACAGTTTACATCGGGGGGAAAGGGATTGTTAGTAATGTGGTTTAACATGCCCATTGCTAGCAATACACCCAATCAGATCGACCTCCACGCGGTTCCCCCTGGAAACCATAGTGATTAAGTCCTGTTCAATTGGTCACTACGGGTCAAGTGACCTGCCTTCATCCTCACCTGTCACCCTTCACTGGTGCCCCGCGAGCGTATACCGATAGCGCATGCGGGGTTACCATTCCATCTTCATCCATTAAGAAAAAAACAGTATTATATGTGACAAAGAAAAATAAGGTTTTTATATTTTACTGAGCAATTTTTCTGACTTTCTTAGAATTTCAACACAAATTACAAAAAAAGTCATACAGATCCAATCGTTCTCCAGTATTTTTTTTTGTACCATAAAGGTGGCAAACAAACATACAGCCTTTTATTTATTTAGATAAATGGAAGACAAATAAAAAAGATTCACATAATTTTGAATAGTAAATCACATCGTATAAGTCTATCTTACATGAATTGTAATAGATTTTTTTTACTTAACCCGCCGAGTTCAGTAGGCCGCTGAGAGCGTAACGAAATAGTACATTTACATCAGCGAGTTATGCGAAGCAAAACCTATTATGGGGCTTTTAACCCTTCAGGACATTTATGGGGTCAGACATTGGCTTTGAATTTGATGAATTTTGGAGACTCTTAACATTAACTAGGTAAAAACTAAGCTCTGATGTCTAAAATGAAAAAAAAAATAAGCTATGTCATTTAAAAACTGGAAAATTTTATTTAAATGCTAACTCTGCATTTGTGAATCGTTAATTTTTTTTTTGTACAAATAAGAATGACAAACAAGCTGCTGGCCCATCTGATGGAAAGTAGTAACCGTCGCCTATAGACATGAGTAGTACCATGAACATAACAAAGTATACTGTTTTGCTCATGATACCCCCCATTTGTTGCCATTCCTGAGGACTCAGGTGTTATTCCTCTGTACCCTGTAAATTTACTTCCATATCCCACCCTTCAATCCGAAACACAGCTTTGTAAACACAAGTGATTTACGTAGAAGCACGAATGGGACAGAGATGCCCAAGCAAATGACTTTTATACAAAATCTCCCTCTGGTGAATATTATATTTATTCCAAATGCTGCGAGGATGCTGCGAATTCCCTGGACCAAGAATCGCATGAACATATCTATCGTGACATAACTCCGCATAAAAGATAAGCTCTCGACAGTCTGCTATCGGAGGATTCTTGGATACTTCGGTCAATTGCAGCTGCCCTGCGAGAAGCTAAAGACCGTGCGAAATAGAATAACATCATAAGAGAGGCAACAGACACCTTTCAAGGACGCGACCTTCAGTAATAAAGTGGACGAAGAGAGAGAGAGAGAAAGAGAGATATCCCAAATATTACAATTTAGAAAAATTAAACCTCCCAGTAGTTCGATTTTCTTTATTAACACGACAGGTGGCACCAACGTCGTACCTAATGATGTTCAAAAATAGATTATAAGTATAATTCTCTTTCATAAAAATAAATAGTATTCCTTAAGTAGTATAATTAAATATGCACTCAGATACGAATTCAAATCTCATTGGTTCGAGCTGTATGTTAGGGAGGTAAAAGTTGGGAACCTAGAATATTTTAGGTCGGTATTTTTACACCAAGACACGAGGTTTGCCCGATAAAGCCAAGGCGATAGTACGTACATATACGATAGTGTAAAATATCACTTCTTTGCATATTAATATATGCAAATACGGTACATAAAGAGGACGTTGACATGCACACATTATAGATAGAAAATGAAGTGTTCGGCTCTGAATTACATAGACATTTTTCTATCAACTTCTTTTTATGCTAAGGTTTAGCGGAAAATAAAATCTATTATATATAATACTATTCTATATCTACTGTACTGAAAAATAATAAAAAAAAATAGTATGGATTCCAAATAGGAGAACATCTTATTAATTAATTAATGGAGTAATTAAGAATGTAAAAAAAAGTTTATCCCGTAACATAAACAACAACAAAGGACCTAGAATTTAAAAACAGATTTTTTTTAAATCGCATAATAATGAAAGATACCAATATACCAATCGCTTCCTACAATTTTGCTAGCGTAAATATTATATCCTTAAGAAAAAAGTATTCGTTGTGTTAATGTGTCGTTACGTAATTATGTATTATCCGCATACAATATTTCATATCCATACAGTTAGTATAAATATCCAAAGATCATTTTACAAACTTTTATATTACAAATTTTCAAATTATTATAATTTAAAATAAAACTCCGTAACTTTTCCATATAACAAAAGTTAGCACAGTTACATTGGATTTAATCTATGAATTTCACTGAGAGAAATCTTAAGCCCATCTCCAAACTAAAGTGGCATTATGTCCATTTTGATTCGTCCCACAGCGTGTCTTCAAATTCCGCCCAATTACTTCAGGCCTATTCGCATTTAGTTACGTTAGTGAAACTCCAACAAGTCATCACAGGCAAAACTGCGCAGTTTGAATTGAGATTTACAAATCCTTATATTGTTAATTAGAATTGTTGAAATTTTGTAATTAAATAACCTGAATCACAGCAAGAATAATAAACTTTTTACAGTCATCATTCTATTTAACTAAAATAATGCTGACATAATCATCATCATCATATCAGCCAATAACTGTCCTTTGCTGAACATGAACCTCCCCTGAAAGAAGGGTTCTATCAGTAGTTAACATTTTTGGCAGGCCGGTTGGTAACCGCAGTTAGGCTTTGGTGATGTTTTAAAAAGGACGCTGCTGTCCATTCCTCAACCTTAAGTTCCTCTTACGATACCCATAGAAAAGTAAGCGGTGGCCCATTCTATGCCGAGACTACACGGCGATATATCGGCATTATATGTATATAAAAAAATTGCATAATATTTGCTAAAATATAATGGTATTGTACCTAGTGAATTTTATAATATATCTCCGAAACTGCTAAACAGATTCTAATAGCATTTTTTAAATGTATATAGTTTATTCCAACTTGAGAGGTAGAATATTTTTTATTGCGATAAAAAAAAATAACTGATAAGTGACGACAGGGGGCAACAACGTTTACCAGCTCTGTTATTAATATTGTAAACGTTCACTAATTCTAAACTGACATTGACCGCAAACCGCAACGGTATTGACCGCAAAATGTCAATGTCAAAATGTGATTTACTTCTGTAATGTTCCTATATTAATTTTATGTAAATTTGGCAGTAGATTATTAACAATTGATTATTTAAATTAAGTTTAATTGAATAAAAATATTTTGTAATTTTTTTTATTTAAATTATTCTCCCTTGCGGAGCAAAATTCTGCTTGTAGACAATTATAATATGTTTTACAACTTTGTGTGTGTTTTATTACTTTTCAAACGACATCAAAAAGAAGGTGCTTCTTTATTCGGTTGTGACATGTTTTTGTTTGTTATCTCATAACATCGTCAGTTATAAACCAATTTTGAAAATTCTTTTTTTTTTTTAAAGATGTACTTTTAGTTTGGTTCCGTAAAAATTTTAACAAAACCGGTTCAGTATATAAATATATTCAGTATATAAATTAAGTTAACTGGTTTTGCCAGAATTGAAGTCGGTTTTTTTTTTATCTTACTTATAAAATAAGAATATTACATTAGTAGTCAATATTATCGTCGTTTGTACACCGGCATACAATGGGCTATGCCTTCCTTTTCCATGGCTATCGCCAGAGTCGACTGAAGGGAGGGCGAGGGATGAGCAGCAGTTTCCCTCTTAAAACATCTCTAAAAGCCTAACTACGGTTACCAACCCCCCTACCAAGCGTGGCAACTATTGACAAATCTTCCCTTATGGGGAAGGCTTATGTCCAGTAGTGGACAGTAAACGGCTAAAATAATAAAAAAATTCAATATTAGATGATTTTAATATTACAGAAATCACTGTTTCTTGTCCAGCAAAATCTAATTGCCTTAAAAGATATCAGAGAGAAATTTACCCAAAAATTTTAATTCAAATGCAATTTATTTTATTTGATAGACAAGCACTTCTACTTTGTAATTTTTTTATGAACGCAGAATGAAGTTGTCTTATATCTGTTAAGAATAACTCGCAAGAAAATCAAAATTAAAAATATAACACACGTTACATTGGAACAAATGTATCGGTTCTTGAGATATTGATCTTTTGTGAACACGTTATATATTGCCTCTACATATTCCTATTCTATTTCTGTACCGAAGCTAACAGCGTTCAATGGACATTGAAAATATATTGCTGATAGTTCGAAGTCCAGAGAACTCAAGGGGTCGCTTATTGCCACCTCGGTAGAACTTGGTCTTGTCTGGCAACACTCACGAGAAAATATCAGGTCTTGACTAAAATCGGTGTCGAGTTCAAATATCTAGAAGTTTAAATTATAATATGTTTACTTTTACAGTAACTATTTTATGAATATAACTATAGATAGAGTTAATATTCTAAAGTATAAAATTCTAATTAAAAAGAAAACAATAAATATAATATTTAAAACAATTATATCTAAAAATACTCGACTAATATTTTTTAAATAAATGACTATTTGCAATTGACTAATATTTAATATTTACTTTTATTAATATATAGAGTAAAATTTAAACCATTACTTTTTATCAGAGTATTCTATTACCGGTGATCGCGTACGAGCAAATGCAGTGTAGGACGACCGCCCACTAAATAGAATGACAACCTGAAATGCATTGCCGGAAGTCAGTAGATGCAGATGGCTTAGTACCATTCTTTATGGCAGTTTATAGGGGAGGAGGCTCGTCTTCATTAGTGAACGGATAATGGCTGAAATGATGATAACTCTATCACTGAAACTGGACATTTTTTCAAAAAAAAAATTTGAAAAACGACGAGCTTTGTTTTAATTTTTTTTTAATAGGCTTAAAAACTAATAGGAAAAATATTGTTTTGTCCCCAGCCAACTGCTGCACAAGATGTGAATCTTGAGGGTCATGGAAGAGGAGGGGTGTTACAACTGCAGTCTCTATGCGGTCTTCAATGATAGTGTCTACTATAACTTCACCACTAATGCCACGTCCATCAACAAGTTCTACTTCTATCAGGTAAAATTTTACTCTTTATTTATTTATATATTACCAGAGGAAAACTTTGTACAAAAGTCGTTTGCTTAGCTACCTCTGTCCCATTCGTGTTTCTACCGTGAAGCAGTTGTGTTTGCATGGCTGTGTTTCGGTTTGAAGGGTGGAATATGGCGTGAATTTACTGGGTACAGAGGAATAACACCTGAGTCCTCAGGAATGGCAACGCATGGGGGGTATCGTGGGCGAAACAGTATACTCTGTTATGTCCATGGTACTGCTCATGTCTATAGGCGACGGTTGCCACTTTCCATCAGGTGGGCCGTCAGATTGTTTGCCATTCTAAGTTGTATAAAAAAAAACTATATTACGCATGTATGTTTATATGTATATAAACCTTCCTCGTGAATCACTCTATCTATTAAAAAAAACCGCTTCAAAATCCGTTGCGTAGTTTTAAAGATTTAAGCATACGTAGGGACAGACAGCAACAGCGACTTTGTTTTGTACTGTGTAGTGATATATGTACTAGCTTTTGCTCATGTTCGCGTGATTGGGATACATTCAATGACTAGGATAAAAGTAGCCTATATCTTACCCATCCACTACAGTACGTGTAGTAATTGGAGGTTGTCTGTAAGAGATTGCTTTTAGCGATAAGCCCGCCTTTTGTATATGCACATTCTGTATAAATACTCCTTATATACATTTTTACTGTGCGCAATAAAGTATTACTATTTTCGGTGATTAGTTACGCCATTAAATTATATAAAGGTAATAAATAAACAAACTCACTTTCACATTTATAATATTAGTAAGGTTTTTTTGTGGTTTAAGGTGGAAAATACCAATAACAATCTAAAACAATCCAAGTAATGGCGATAGACTCGCCCTGTGCCACGTTCAATTCTGTTATACTAGACGAAAGTTATGTCGACAATTGCGACAATTAACAAACGCATCTGATAACCCCTTCAAATGTAATGGTCGTGAGCATATTTATTTTGTTAAATCTCATTTTAATTTCTGTACACCTCAGTATACTCGAAGTAAAAAAACAATAAAATAGGTATAATATAATGTTCTTATCATGAAATAAATTTCCCTAAAAGAAAACCTAATCTAATTTAATTAAAAAAACTATAAGTTCAATTGCACTCTTCAATTCAATTAGCTCTGTAAAAGTGTCTTTTAACAAATTATGTCATTCAGTAACAGCTGTGATTATACGAGACGTTGCAATTTTAGGGTCCAAGTTAATTGCGCGGGAAAATCACACTGAAGTATGGGTCTAGACATGCTACGTATTCTAATCTCCCTTCAGTGCATAGTCCAAGTGATAAGAATATAGCGTTTTGTAAAACTACTTCATTTCTATGAAAGATGCTTTGTATATATGTTTTATTGTAGATTCTTTTAAAATAAATATAATAAATTGATATAGCCCTAAGATATTATCATGATTATAATATCAGCAGTTATCTGTCCGCTGTTGGACATAGGTCTTAAGATATACGGGCATATATTTAGAGAACACAATGTTTAATTAATATAATCGAAATACAATATTCAAATAAACTTACATGTTTTTTTTTTTTTCAAAATAAACCAATTATTCATTATTTCTAAAATATTTTTGAATACGATAAAAATGTTATACAAAATAGGAGCAGATATTTAAAAAGTCTGTTTTTTTCATTGAATATTGAATTTCAATGAAATATATTCATTGATAGAATAATGTACGTCAGCAAAGAAAATAAATTTGTAATATTCGGTACAATATTATATTATTGGTTTTAATTTTTATATTGATTGATACAAAATCGCTACCACTTGTGTCTTATTCGTTACATTAGCGCTATTCCGTTATTTTAAATCATGTACATACTCTTCTAGAATAATATTATGAGCCTCATTATATGGGGCTTAAATGCCATTTTACAGGTAGATTAAAAATTATCTACTGTATAATTTTAAATAATGAAGTACATACTGGTTTTCGTCCATGACTTCATCTGTATGACTGGCACAGGTTGAGTGATAAATTTAAAAAGCAGCTTACGTCCATCTCCACACTAAATCATCATCATCTTCATCATCTTCCTACCCTTACCCCAATTATTATTTGGGGTCGGCGTAATATGTTTTTATCCATATTATAAAAAGATTTGGCTTAATATATATACTCTATACCAAGTATTAAATTTATATCTTTTCTAATGTTTGCTATTAAAGTGCCAAGAGAGAACAAAAATTTACCCAAACGAATAATTGATCCGACCTTAAGACAGTGTGTTCATAGTAGTCTGTCTGTTTCTGTAATAATATCCATGAAATTTATTTTTAACCGATTTATAAAATCTTTTTTATAAATCGTTTAAAAATAATTTTCTCCATTCGATTGATTTTTTTTTATGTTTGTTACCTCTTTATTATCTGAAATTATATACTTACAGATTGCCCCATAGAAATTTTATCAAAATCGGTTCAATAATTTATTTTTAAATCAAAATCACTTTTTTGTCACTCTTTCTGATTTTGTCACAATTGAAGTCGAATTTTTGTAATTAGACTTAATCTTAATAGATTCTAACTAATACATTCTCATAATCAAATATTTTTACGAGAATTTGTACAAAAGTCGTTTGCTTGGCTACCTCTGTCCCATTCGTATTTCTACCGTGAAGCAGTTGTGTTTGCATGGCTGTTTCAGTTTGAAGGGTGGAATATGGCGTGAATTTACAGGGTACAGAGGAATAACAACCGAGTCCTCAGGAATGGCAACGCATAGAGGGTATCATGGGCGAAACAGACCATGGACATACTTTGTTATGTCCACGGTACTGCTCACGTCTATAGGCGACGGTTACCGCTTTTCATCAGGTGGGCCGTCAGCTTGTTTGCCATACTAAGTTGTATAAAAAAAAAGTTGGCAACCGCAGTTAGACTTTGGTGATATTTTAAGAAGTATGCTGCCAATCCCTCGACTATTAAATTCCCTTAGTCGCCTCTTACCACACCTACGAGGAAAGAAAGGAAAAGCTCATTCTATACCGGGACCACACGACATATAAAATATGTCTATCTCAACAGTCAACGGTGTTAGTATTATATTATCTTAATGCGATATTAACAGAATTTATTGTACACGAACGTGCAAATGAAACAAAGGACGAACTTGTAATATCACTTCCACCTTACATTACTCCATAGTCTAGAAAACAGGTCGTTGCACGGAAACGTACACGTTATCTTGAAGAAAATAATAGTGGAGCTTCCACTTTGTATAATGTTTTATTTTCACGATACTATTATACATGCGCGCCAAAAGTGGAACAACACAACTCAATGGATGAAAAATAAATTGTTGATAACTGCGATAATTGCGTTGCAAATGCGGCTAAACTATCATCTCTACTCGTAATATATAAAATTCTCGTGTCGCGGTGTTTGTTACCAAACTCCCCCGAAATGACTTTACTGATATTTATGAAATTTTGTGTGCATATTGAGTGGGTCTGAGAATCGACCAACATCTATTTTTCATACCCCTCAATGATAAGGGTGACCTACCTAAATATTTATTTTTTATTCTTTTGGCAATTTTTTTTTATTTTTATTTTTTAATGATTTAGCATTTAAAAATACATACAAATTCAAATTGTCACCCTTTTACGATCAACCCCTGTTTTTTAATCGCGATTTTTATATAGCAATAGACTTGCAAGATGCAATCGAATATAATAATTGTAGGATATAATAATTATAGGATAAATTTTCCTGTATAATTCTCGAAATAACATATATGGTAAAACAACGTTTGCCGAGTCAGCTAGTATACTTATAAAAACGGCGAGATAAATAAAATACATATTATGTTTTCAACATCCATTTTATAAAATTAGAATAGAATCGACATAATGCATTATATTTTTAATAGTAAAAAAGTATAAGTGGCCAGTACGTGCAATAATAAAAGAGTTCATTCTCACATATTAAATTGAATCTGCAACACTTTCCTTTGTATAATGTTTTATTTTCACGATATTTTTTTTTATACAACTTAGAATGGCAAACAAGCTGACGGCCCACCTGATGGAAAGTGGTAACCGTCGCCTATAAACATGAGCAGTATCATGGACATAACAGAGTATACTGTTTCGCCCATGACACCTCCCATCCGTTGCCATTCCTGAGGACACAGGTGTTATTCCTCTGTACCCTGTAAATTCACGCCATATCGCACCAGCCACACAGCCATGCAAACACAACTGCTTCACGGTAGAAACACGAATGGGACAGAGGTACCCAAGCAAGCGACTTTTGTACAAAGTCTCCCTCCGATATTATTATACATAAGCACCAAAAGTGGAACAACACTACTCAATGGATGAAAAATAAATGTTTAATTTATATTAGTATTCTGTAAGTAAAAAGTGAAATCAAACTTCATATATTAAGTAAAAATATATGAACAGACATACATCCTATTAATATTATAAATGCAAAAGTTTCTAAGAATAGATGTTTGATATTCTTTCACACAAAAACTACTGACTAGATTTATAAAATTAAGTACACGTATAGATCATATCCTAACTTAGCCCATATGAAGCGTTAAACTGCAGGAAAATGACATTTGAATTGTTTTCTTTTCTTCTGTTCCCATATATAATAATAATAATAATAAAGATTTATCTATACTTATAATAAATCTGTAGAGAGGTCAATTCTGTACATGAAATATATTTCCAAATTAACCATCAGAGGGTGATTAGTGATCGATACTGATGCCAAAAATGCAATCAGTAAAATTTTTGTCTTTTTGTCTATATGTTCGTTATAACGATTCGTTAAAGTCCGTCGAGTAGTTTTTGTTCCTATAGGAACAAAAACTACTCGACGGACTTTAACGAAACTTGGTACAATTACTCTTCATGCTCCTGGGCAGGTTATTGTATACTTTTCGCGCTACGATCAATAGGAGCAGAGCAGTGAAGGGAAATGTGTCTGTTACATCA